CCTGTAACCCTTACCTGTAACGGACTGGTGCAGGTTTCAGCGCGCTGTCCAATTTAGTTTAGAAGTGTGATCGTGCTGCTGAAAGAGCACTGCAGGAATTATGAGTCGCGCGCCTCCACATTTTATCAAATGTGCAGCGGTTCAGACTCCGCCTCTGCTGAGCTCCATCACTGCAAAGCATTGGCTGCAGTCTTACTACGCTTTCCTCCATCCATAAGTAAAAAACCAATGTCATATATTACACTCCTATCTAATATACATCGCCCCCAACACACACACACACACACATACTTGCATTTGTGGTTTACGGGGACTCTCCACAGGCGTAATGGTTTTTATACTGTACAAACTGTATCTTCTACCAACCCTACACCTAAACCTACCCCCTTACAGAAAACTACTGGCAATTTTTACATTTCATAAAACACCGTTTTGTATGTTTTTTAAGCCTTTTGTTTTACGGGGACACCGGAATTGTCCTCATAACCCATGTTTACGTTGTTAAAAACTACTTTTGTGCTTTTTGTAAACTAAGCTTCAACAAATTGTGTGCTTTTTAGTTCATTATTTTTGTTAAATGTGAGTTTAATTTGATCATACTTTTTTCACATTTAACTACTAGTAGTACTACTATTAGTTAAACTGTCACGTGACTGCATCTTTTCTACAATTATAATTATCCTCAATAAAATCACAAAAAGTATAACTTGGATTGGGATTCTCCTTCAAAAAGTCTAATAAACTTTTTTTTTTAAATTGCAATGAAGGTTAAATAGCAAATATAACTCTAGTAACTTTGATATTTTGGTTTGAAATATGATATTTTGTAGCTATGCTTTGTGCAAATGTTCTTGCATGGTGTAAAGTTATTGTGTAGATCATACTAAAGTTTGTCCTGGATGAGCAATAGAGAACATCAATTAAAACACCAGGAAAATAATAGATATTCCAGTAATGTCCCTAAACTAGCATTGGCAACCCATGCCAACATTCTAACTACAACCATTTTAAGAGAAACCGGTGTCAGACTGGCTGTGAAGACGAGGTTACAATGTGTTCCGGCTTCTCTGGTCTTCAGCCAAACTGAACAGTTCTCAAATTGGATCCTTGGCAGAGTTTCTACAGTCAGTTTCGAGACATGTTTTAAGGTTAGGACTGTCAAATCCATGTTTCAGAGCACAATCCATGACAAATGTTTTCCTATGAGGAGTTAATATCACGTGTAATCAGAAACGGCCTGTCCGGTCACGTCTTCATAGCATCAGCAAATAAACTCAATGAAAATCTTTTTTTTTTTAATAAGCTTTGAAGGAGATGTATAGTGGCACATTTTCCCATGAGCATATAGCATGTTGACATGTATATTCTTCTAAGAGGACATTAAAGACCATGAGGACGTTTTAGTGCCTCTTCATGAACATTCCAGCTCAACAAGACAAACGTGAGCTATTAGGTCTAGTGAATATGCAGAGTCTGCCAAGTGCTACATCCTATTGAATAACCAAAATCAGTTTCCTTATGTCATCAGTGCTTTCTATACAAACAAACTCACCATCCACTGCTATTATATTAAGATCAATATCTGTTCCACTGGAGAAATGTCTTCTCAGAGAACACTGTTGCACCTCCTCCTGGCTAATAGGTGTTTTATACTTTTTCACACACGTTATTTAATACACATAAACATTTTATATCTGTAATCTTTATTTTTATGTATTATTCTTTCAGGAAAATGCTTCAGGGTTGTGCTAAACCCAGCAGACCAGTGCTTCTGGGTGGTGAGAAACATTAGCTGAGCCATAGTCGAATAATAAACAGGGGTAGAACATATAGACACGTAACAGTGAAAGCCACTATGGCCATTATTACAAAAAACAAGACACATATAACATTTCTCTACTGATACAGTACAGTGTTGAGCAACATTAAATACACTAAAACTAATAGAGGTATTACAGTGCACAGACAATCTAACCACAACTGTCTAAGTTTTACTCACCAGTAAGATCATTTTTTCTTTGCATTTGAGTTGGTAAACATTGATGGAGAAAAGAATGAGATACAAAAGAACTAGTGTGGGTTGCGTTTGGCAGTGCATGATAAACTCGATATAAAACTCAAGTCTTTTCAAAATAATCTTTATACCTCTGTTAATAAATACGTTTAGATAAAAACAAAATGTCCCTTTCAAATAATTGTTTTTAAAATACTGTCTAATTTATGCTAACAGTGCTATTTAATACAAAATAGTTTAAAGGTGACATATCATGAAAATCTGACTTTTCCAGGTTTTAAGTGCTATAATCAGGTCCCTGGTGCATCTACCAACCAAGGAAACGTGAAAAAGATTAACCCAATCACTTTGTTTAGGTAAGCCTTTTAGGTAAGCAAGCGTCTGAGAAAACGAGCGCGTCTGATTTTGCTCCCTTGGTGACATGGCAAAGGGATCTCATTATAATATTACCGCCCCTTAATCTGTAAGTTTCCACCCACAGCGCCGTCATTTTGATTTCGCAAGAAACAACGGTGTACGAGCTCTAATGCCATGGCGAAAGTTTGAGCAAAACATGCTAACTGTTCTGTCATTGGCTGCAC